AAACAAAACTGAGGAGTCAGGTAGAGGCTATGGAAGAACGGAAGGTGCATCTGCCTTCCTCAGCCCCATGGTACGAAGCAAAAGCATCACCACAGGTAGTTAATCATAATATTACAATACATATAAGATATACAATACATATAAGAATACATATAAGAATTATAATGCTTATAACATGTAATAATTATAAAAGAATAATAATAATAATGTAATAGTAAGTAAAAATAATAAAGGTGACTCATTCTTGAGCCCTTGTTATGGCCAGGCACTGTGCTGCGTACTAGACATCTATGATCTCTTTGTCTATACAGTGCCCCTGTGAGATCTGACATTATCCTCATTTTTCAGGAGCTTAGATAAATTAGGCAACTTGCTGGAAGATACAGTCGTTCAAGGAAGAGGCCGGCAGGATTCCAGTTCAGTCCTGTCTGAAGCTGACATTCGTTCTCCTACTATGCTCTGATGTAAGCGTGGTTGGGGCACCTGGGTGGCTCATCAGTTAAGGGTCTGACTTCAGTTCAGGTCATGATCTGAATCGTGGGTTGTGAGCTCGAGCCCCACATCAGGTAAGGCCGAGCCCCACTTCAGGTAAAACACGAACCCTGCTTCTCTCTATCTCTCTCTCCCTCTCTTTTTCTCCGCCCCTCACTCACTTGCACCCTCTCTCTCAAACAAACAAACAAACAAACAACAAACAGCGTTGTTGGAGAACTGAAATCTGTGTCATGCTATGGGTTGCCTGGAATTGGGCTCTGAATGCACTGGGATGAATTTACCCCCCGTACCACATGGGCCTGGGCTCTATGAGCGTCTGTACGTTGTGTTGGCAAACACGGATGGGAGTAGAATGCTCCCTGCTCTTTTGTAAACAGTCAGGACGAGACAGAGAAAGAGACAAAACTTTATACTAGGTCTCTTCATGCGGTTCGACTAAACAGTGGCTAAGACCTCTCTCTACCTACCATAGACCGAGTGTTTGAGAAATACCAGACACTGTTCTGGGCACTTTGCGTAGATTATCTCATCAAAACCCCTCACCAACCTGATGAAATCATCATTCTCATTATCCATTTCACAGATGAGGTTTAGGGAGCTTAAGCATATTTCCCAAGATCCCACAAACGCTGGCTGCCCAGCACCATGCTGTGTCCCACCAAGACAGATTTATGAGAAGAATGTTTGATTTGGGGCCCTGAATTCCTTTCACTGATCCCCTAAACACATTGGATACTTAGTACAAAACAAAAGCAGATCCTATTGATCTAGACCCATCCATTGAAAGGCCTTTTATGTCCACTCTTTCTTGATAGAGATGTTCTTTTCTTCCCTAATGCACCTGAAAAATAAAGCCAAAAGGGGAGATAAAAGAAAAACTCACAGCTACTTTTAGAATCATCAAATAGCTTTATTCTCTCTTCTGAGGAGTTTCAAAACTCTAAAAGCTTCCAATTACCTGCCTGGATCTTTGTCTAAATTATTTACCACTGATACTTCCTGCCTGATATTGTTATGTGGGGGAGATTGCGTGTTGCTACATTTACCTGCACTAAAAGTGGGTGCTGGCCACCAGAGCTGTCCCCTGAGGCATGGCAATATGGGGCAATGGCCTGGGCCTGTGTGTTTTGAGGAAACCCATTACTGGAGCTCCCAGCCACCCTGGCTGGAATGCAGCTGCCAGTGAGTCAGCATAGAAATCAGCCACTAAGCCCACAGATGAAGGCCCTCTCCCCCCACTCCTCTTCTCACAGTTTCCACCCCCAGCCTCTCCACACCTGCAGTTCCAGCGTCCTTCCTCATCCTTCCCAACCTTGATGAGAATCACAGCCATTTTGACCAGATGAGAACTTGGAGGTGGTCTAGAAACTTCTGCAATTTTCCAAAACAGGAATCTGGGGTGCAGAGAAGGGAAGGGGATCCTCAGAAAACCTTGAAGCCTTGCTCCTAGAGTTCCATTCATCATGCACCCAAGTACTCACTTTCATGACCTGCCATTGGTATATGGGGAAGTGGAAAAGACTGTGTCTGGCAGAATTCCTGTGAGGAATGAGCCCTGAATGTTTTCAGAAGAAATACTTTGATAAAGCTGCTAGCGTGGCCAAATGAGAAGCCTGTCCGTGGTGGACGAGGTCAAACTGTGAAAGACAAGCATAAATTGCTAAGCAAGAGGCTGAGAGAGAAAGGGGGCAAAGTTCAGGGGTAAGGGAGACAAAGAGCTCTCTTTTCAGAGAAGAGAATGGCACCAGAAAAATGGCGGAGGGCTGTGGGCCATGTATTTGACCCCTCCCCACAACCCAAAATCTTCAGTAAAATAAATACGTAATTCATAAAGTGTTTGGCAGGAGGGGGTTAAAAGTGGAAACCAACATAGGAAACCAACCAATGGACCTGGCTTGGCATTTGTCCCATGCTGTTCAAAAAAGAAGTATGTGTGCAAACAGGAGTCCAGGGGCCAGAGAAAGCCATTGGAATGTCCGTGTCTCTCAGTGAGTTTCTAAATATGTACATAAGGGCTTTGGACTTCCCTGGGCCATTGAGTCAGCTGTACCCAGATCTCCAAAATGCAAGGGCTGACATGTGGGCATAAAGATGGATGCAGCTGTCTTTGGGGAAGCAAAGAGAATCTCTATAGTGTGCCTTAGCCCACTTGAGGCTGGTCCTGGAGTGCCTTGGTCACAAGACAAAGGATTTAACCTGGGCCTGGACTGAGCATAAAAGTGGAAAAGGGGCAAATAGCCTGCAGCACAAAAAAATGTTTTAAAAAATTTTTAATGTTTATTTATTTATTTGGGAAGAGAGAGCACAAGCATGGGGGGCGAAGAGAGAGAAAAAATATCAAGAATCCCAAGCAGGTTCTGCGCCGTCAGCTCAGAGCCTGATGTGGGGCTCGATCTCATGAACCATAAGATCATGACCTGAGCTGAAATCGAGTCAGATGCTCAACTGTATGAGCCACCCACGTGCCCCAAGGAAAGCATTTAGTTAAGGGTAGGACCCTTTTACAGCTCAACTCAGGTGGGAGAAGAGAAGAGGGAGAGAACACACTAACAGTACTAATAGTACTTTTTGATGCACCTGTGTGCATAGCAGCCAAACACTGGGTTCCACTCGTCATATGTCATCAAAAGCCAGGGCCCCTCCGTTCAAGACCATGTCGCATTCCAAAAAACAGTCCAGCAGATGAAAGAAATGGAAGAGCCGTTAGCACCTTCACTTGTGTCTCTCAAATGCCTTTGATGGAAATTCAGTGTATAACCCATAGCAGTACTTACTCAAATCTTCCCGGTGCTTGCACACCTTGCAACTGCCTTTTGGCCCAACCTCTCCCTATTGAAAATTGTCTGTCTTTATCCCTCCTCATTCCTGTCTCTGCTCTATATCATGTAGATCAACTTAGCCTCTTGACTTCTGTTTTCACTTTCTCTTCATTGCCCTGAATCTCAGCGACAAAGGAGACTTGAAGAACTGCCCCAATGAACAAAATTGCTTCCTTTCCCTTTTACCCCCATGTGCATCCTCAGTTCTCCTAACTGTGCATCACAGTGAGGATGGGAGCAGAGCTGGTGAAACCAGAAATCTCCACCAAGGGCCAGGGAGAAGGGAGAAACCAATGGGTGAAACTAAACTCTTAAGTGAGAAGGGCAGACAAAGCTGGAACATGTATATTAATATATCTTATCACTGCCATGGGTAGACCATGCATTCTCTGGGAGATTTAACAAATTTCACACTTTTCCAGCACATCAAAATCATGACGAATTTCCAAACTATTTAGGAGGATTGGGTGGTGTCACATGGAGGGCTGAGGACGGCTGCCTTTATCACCATTACTGGGGAGACAAGACATCTGAACAAGGAGTCTTTCGTTTCTTTAACTGGAAAGTAACAAGTCAGTAATATTCAATAATACTTCTTTTTTTCAATTTTGTTAATGTTTATTTATGAGAGAGAGAGAGAGAGAGAGAGAGAGCAGGGAAGGGGCAGAGAGAGGGAAACAGAGAATCAGAATCAAGGTCCAGGCTCCAAGCTGTCAGCACAGAGCCCAACATAGGGCTCGAACCCACGAACCCTGAGATCATGACCTGAGCTGAAGTCAGACACTTAACCGACTGAGCCACCCAGGCGCCCCTCAATAGTACTTCTTAACCATATTTAACGACCCCATTTCCAACCCTGATTTTGGCACTGGTGGGTAGATACTTGCTAAAGACAGTTTAATATGGAATTTTCAAAACCAAAGTCTAGTCCGCGGCTTATAAACTTTCCTAGCAAGCTCACAGGTATGTCATAGAATTACTGAATAAAGTCTCTAAGAGTTTCCCGTGTCCAGGCTTCTCAGTGCCTTAATAGGAGAAGTGATATTCTGAAAGTCTGCTTTTGGCTTCTGCAGTGGTGTGAGCAAAATGAACAGTGAGGACGGCTCCACCTGCCTGAGCTGCTGGTGGCCCCACTGGACAGGTGGGGTGACTCGGCACCTTGTTGCTGAAGAATGTCTGGAAATGGAGTAGAGACTCTATGGAGAAAATCATGATCTACAGCATCAAGGAAAAGATGGAAAGGTCAATCAGTAAGCCCCTGAGATAGGTGACCCAGAGCTCCAGTCTAAGGTTACTCAAAGCGATGGAGGGCCCCGTGGCTGCTGGGAACCATTTGGACTTCCACACTAGAAGGCAATTCCATTGACTTGAGGTCATGGCTCTCGGAAACATGGATTCGAGTGGGAGTGCATTGTAAATCAAACACGCAAAACAATGGACTCCAGTCACATCCTGGCCGACCCGATGAGAACTCCCACGCCAAGTTTGTGCAGGACTGGCTCTGTCTCCAAGGCGTTCAGAAGTGAGTTCAGGCAGGAAAGACCTACTTCCCAGATGATTGAAAGCACTTTGTGTTTCACATCCATGCTGAACCCACACACAAAGCAAATGGGGGTAAACACCATGGGGAGCCTTTCCGGAGGCTAAATTATCATTCATCTTTTTTTTTTTTTTTTTAGGTCACTGAAATCCAGAGCTCATCCAAAATTATGCCAGCTGCAGTCTCGAGAACTGAAATTTGGGAATAGGAACTAAGCAAGTCCTCTGATGCCTTAAGTTTATTTGTGGAGCTTTCTATAACTAAATTCAAATAAAGAAATCTTTGATATATGCCCATAAACCAAGATTTTCTGGGAAGCATCCAAAGGGAGCAACTCAAATTGACGATTATCAGCTGTACAGAAATAATACTTTTTTGCAAGTTTCAAAGTAAAATGGCCGTTCAGTTGGGAGTTTCTTCCCTCTTTCTAAATTTTTTGTTCAAATTCTAAAATGACCCTAGGAACTTGAATTGAGCTTATTAAGTGAACAAGACAAAAACTCAAAGCAAGACTTTTTAAAACTTTGCAGATTATTACTCATTTTGATAGGTTTGTGAGATGGGGAACAGCATCTCTTCTGGAGATTTCTCAATAAAAAAAAAAAATAGATCCTTATCATTGAGGGAAGAGACTCCTGTGGCTTCCTATAAGTCTATGAGCTTAAAGATGAATTCTCAAGAATCCCACCCACCGTGTGATTCTGTGGGTCTATGACTTGCCCTCCATACTTCCAAAAATTATTTCAAAAGCTCATTAGTAATATGTTATTTTAATGTGGGAAAATTAATATAAACCTTCAGAAGAGAAAATGAGTTCTTGTCAAAAAGCAATAATCATCCTTATGAAGTTAATGTAGGTTTTACGGTTAGTACAAAAGATACGTTTGTCCTTGTTTGTCTGATTTTCCCACCTCTAATTAAAGACTATATGGTGTAGGGACGAAGAGAAACCTACAAAGGCTTTATTAATATTATTGAAATAAAAATGCACAATACATTTCCAACTTACTGAATTAAATTAATTAAGCTTCATTTTTCTCTTCAAGAGGCTGATTTCAAATTAGTGCATTTTTCTAAGACATTTAAACAACAAGCAATATGTTAAATGAACCTAAGATACGGTTTGGCTCCAGGGATAGTCAGTGTTTCTAAATGATTTCTGTGGATCTTGGTTAACTTTTATGCTGCAATGTCACATGCATTTAAAAATATATTGATTGTGTCTTGTTTTTCAGGGATCCTTGAAGGAAAAGTGAAGTGGCTTGACAATTGCCAAAAATGTAGACATCTACGGAAGATTTTTGTGTGGCCTCTACTATGGGATAGAAACAAAAAGCTTCATTCCAGAGGTACACAAATGTTCAATTAGGACTTATGTCCCTCCCCAGAAGTTTGGTACGTAGATGGAAATTGTTAAACTAGTCCTACAAAGTCCCCAGCTGTCCACTTGAATAATAAATCTAAGTTTATGAACCAGAAGTAAAGCCTTCATCCACATGGCATTGTATGTGGGAGGCTGACGTCATCAGACATTCTTGGGGTGGCCCTTCCGAGCAGTTTTCCATTCTTTCCCATTCTCAGGTCCACCTTCCAGCATTTCCTAATGTTGCAAATCTTCTGGGTAAAATGTGCTGCCCCGGTTCCTGGAATATGTTCTCTTTTAATCACTCACAATATCTCTGTGATTTTCTCTCCTTGTTTTGCCTGAAACATATTTTTAAAGAACACATGGCAGAAAACATCTTGTCACCAACCACCAGACAACTTTTCTATGAAGGAAAATTAACTCTTGCAGGCAAATGCTGCTTCCTTTAAAAATTCAACATCTTTGGGGGCACCTGGATGGCTCAGTCAGTTAAGCATTCAACTTGGGTCATGATCTCATGGTTTGTGGGTTGGAGCCCCATGTCGGGCTCTGTGCTGACAGCTTGGAGCCTGGAGATTGCTTCAGATTCTGTATCTCTTTCTCTCTCTGCCCCTCTCTCACTTGTGCTCTGTCTCTCTCTCAAAAATAAATAAACATTAAAACAAAATTTTTTTTGATTCAACATCTATGGTATCTTGTAACTTGTCCAATCATTACTAATTGAAGTGTGGGAGGAATCGCATTTGCTCTGTATGGCTGAGGCAATGGAAAATGTGGATCAGAGCATCCTAGGGACTCATGCAGACTCTGGCTTGATCAAAGACTTCACAGCATAACTAGCTCCAGGCCCTCCATTTTCTCCCTATGAAATGGGATGACCATAAGGCCGTTGTTAAAATGAAGTAATATACATGAAGAGCTTAGCTCATGGTCTGAAATACGGTAAACACTCGACATCACCTGTTATCATCATCATTTTACTCCCCCAGTGACTGGGGCGGCCACCCTGTCAATTGGGACCCTATTATGTAATACACGCTGTGCTAGGTAGATACCATTGGAGAATATAAAGTAATTGTTCTGTATAATCCTTTCCCTCTGGCTGAGAAGCTCTGCCATAATGAGCAGACCTGCAGCGTAAGTTCAGAAAAGCTAAGAGTCTGTGAAGCTGGCGTACTGGGGTGGTCCATGGGGCTGGAGGTGGGTTTGGGGGTATAGAAAGGATAGAGGTCCCTGGAAGGACAGGAGGGATTACATCCCAGATGAGAAGCATAGCAGGAAGAAAGGCTTGGAGGCAGAAGCCACCCGGCAGGTGGAGACTCTAGCAACATGGTTTGAGGTCCAGAGGGCGAGCCCCCGAGGCTGACTGCCAGGCTCGCTTCCTGGCTCAGCCTGTTGTGCCGGTGTGACCTCGGGCCCCTACAGCAATCCTGCCACACTTCAGTTTCCTCTCTTTGTTGTGAGGATTCAATGAGCTGATGGATAGGCACTCGAAAGAATGGCTGGCACCCAGCCGGTGCTCAGTAAATACTATCATGATCAGAAAGGGCTGCCAGACTGAAATAAGATTTGCATTCACTCATTTATTCATGTCTGCATAGACTCTTGATTAGTCACCTGCTGTGTGTGAAGCCCTGCCGGAAGTGGGGTTGCCTATTTATGGTCATGTGATCCAGGGGGCGGAGCTGGGCGCTAATTCCTTACTGAATACACCTCGTTGAGAATCTCCTCTAATTTAGGGAGAGCGCTAGATGGCAGTTCAGGACACAATGCCCACCTGGCAACTGCCGTTTAGGAAAGATAGACATGCCCAGCAATTGACCTCAAGGGGCCGTCTCATGCATTTTCTCCTTCCAGTGAGTTATGCAGAGAAGTTACACTTAATTCCATGTTATAGGTAAGGAATCTGAGGCTTAGGGAGGTTCTAGAATCGTCCTCAAGGCCACCTGGCTGATTAAATGGCAGAGATCAGACCTGCACCAGGCCACCTCAGCATAGCAGGCTTCCAGAATCACAGCAACTACCTTGGAAACCAAGCAGAGGGACCCAGCCAGAAAACTGCTGGCAACAAGAAGTCATTGAGCTCTTGGATAGGAGCATGATAGGTTTAAAGGGCTGTTGAAGAAAGAGTTATCAGAAGCAAAGCACAAAACGGCACGGAGCTGCAGGAGGGTACCAGAGCACAGAGACCCGCTGCAAATTCCTCAGTGAAGCAGGGTGGGGTGAAAAGAGCCGGGCCTGGGCTTCTCAACTGTTCTTGACCTGCAGGCCATGCCCCTCCCACTTCCTTTCGAAAAGATGACAATTTTAATTTTCTTTGATGTTATCACCACTTTAAAAATAATTTTGCATTGTGACAAAACCAAATCAAAGTAATGAAGCAAAACACAGCTCTGTGCTCAAACATGACTCTCCCTCCAAAATCGGCCTCCACCTGGAATTATCAGAGATTTTTATGGACCCCTGCCTTCTATCTACCAAATTCCCAACACTGTAAGGGGCACTGACCTATCCTAAAATGTTAGAAATGAACACAAATAGAAAAAGATAAATGGGAGAGATGTTTCAAAGGCAAAAGCAGGAGGACCTTTTGATGGACAAAGTGGGTGAAGAGGGAACAAGTCGAAGCCGTCCCCGGGTGTCCTAACCTATGTGCTGAAAGGCTGGTTGAGCAACAACACTGAGACTGGCGGAGAGAGTGGGTCAGAGAGTCAGTTTTGAGGCTCGGGTTTGGGCATCATGAGAAGTCAGGTAGAACCTGGAGGACATGCCCATGACCATCTCTCGGTGAAGAGCCACGTGAAGATGTGCATTCACACGTCATGTGGGAGCGAGGTGTTTGTCGTGGAAACCTGGATGGGATGCTGGCTCTGCCATCCCTGGGAAATCGCTTTTTCTGTGTGGTCCAAGACGAGTCACTGGCATGTCTCCATTCTAGCCGGGGGGAAGTGGAGAGGGGGACAGGAGATCAGAGCCTTGCTGTTTAAGGACATGGCCCAGAAGCTGCACACTTTTGTTCATATTCATTGGTCAGATTTAGTTGCTTGGTCATATTTAACCACAGGGGAGCTTGGAGATGTAGTATTTATTGGAAATGGACATGTACCCACTAAAACTCAGAAATTCTGTTACTACAAAGGAGGGGTGAAAAGTTTTTGAGGGACAACCAGCAAGCAGTCTTTGCCACAACCTCATTTGCAAAAAGTAAGTTTCGTAGTGATGAAATACAATTTGTAAAAAATATTCAAGGACAGGGTGCCTGGGTGGCTCAGTTTGTTAAGCGTGCAACTTCAGCTTGGGTCATGATCTCATGGTTCATGGGTTCGGGCCCCACATCTGGTTCTGTGCTGACAGCTCGAAGCCTAGAGCCTGCTTCAGATTCCGTATCACCCTCTCTCTCTGCCCCTCCCCCATTCATGCTCCCTGTCTCCCAAAAATGAATAAATGTTGAAAAAAATTTTTTTAGTTTCTTTTTA